GGGCCAGATCTGGCTCTTGGGCCATAATTTGCCCACCCCTGGGATAGATAGTCCCTGTTCCCAGATGAGAGGATGAGGAAATCTATGGATGTAGGACTTTGGTATCATGCTTTATGTGTGTTTGTACTGAGAATCTCTGTTACTATGTACCCAGGCCTTCAACTTCTCACCAGAGAATAGGGATGTAAAATCTCATTTAGAATGTTAACCAGTTAAATGTTATGTTTAATCAGTTAACTTAACCCACGGACTGGGGGCTACTCCACAGGCTGCTCCAGTTGGGCTGGATAGGGCCCGCTGCAGTGTGCCACAGGTGGGTGGCTCCTCCAACTCAGCTAAGCCCACCATGAATCAGAACTGCTCTGGCAAGGCCGGGCTGAGCCAACCGCACTGTGCGGTGGGCAGGGGGATGCTCGGGCTGGATTGGGCAGGGCCTGGTACACCATGCCACACGTGGGGGGGTTGCTCCAACCATGTTGGGCACCAGTTAACTCATAACCCCGGTAAGTATGCCAGTAAGATGCACTCTTACCGGGTAACCGGTTAACCCTTTACATGCCTACCAGAGAGAATGGTCCATTAAAAAATGCAAATACTATTTTTGTAGCATTTTTCAGGATCATTTGCGATGGCTGAAATTCACGATCTTCTGCATATCAGATAAATTCCCTCTTTGTCTTCTTACCACTTCAAATATGAAGCTGTTTCCAATTTCAAGGGCAAAATATTGTGAACAGCAAACACCTGTGAAGCTACATAAGCAAACCTAGGAGGACAGATGGGCTGTGTCTACACTGGGCCACTTATTCCGGAAAATCAGCCGTTTTTCCGGAATAAGCTGCGAGCTGTCTACACTGGCCCTTGAATTTTCAGAAAAGCAACGATGCTCTACTGTACAAAATCAGCCGCTATTCCGGAAAAACCATTCTGCTCCCGCTCGGGCATAAGTCCTTATTCCAGAACACTGTTCCGGAAAAGGGCCAGTGTAGACAGCCCAGTAGTCTTTTCTGGAAAAAAGCCCCGATCGCGAAAATGGCGATCGGGGCTCTTTTCCGGAAAAGCGCGTCTACATTGGCCACAGACGCTTTTCCGGGAAAAGGGCTTTTCCGGAAAAGCAGCCTGCCAATGTAGACGCTCCTTTTCCGGAAAAACTGAAAACGGAATAGTATTCCGTTGTAAGCATTTCCAGAAATTCATGCCAGTGTAGACACAGCCATTGTGTATGTGATGAAAGGACTGTAAATGTTAAGATATTGCTGCTAACTAATATGATAAACATTTTTCGACGGTGTCATTAATATTTTAAGGCATAAATGGAATGCTAGTCACTTTAGAACAAATAAAAGGAAACTAATTTAAAGAGCCAAAGTTCAAACTGCAAAATTTGCCGCTGGGTTTTGGAACTGTTCCTGCATCTGTGACGTCAATGGGAGTTTTGCCATTCACAGTGGCAGCCAGATTAAGGGCCATGGTAAAAAACACTGTGGAATGAGTTTGCCATTTAAAAATGATTGCAGACCTAACTTTTGGACAACACATTCAGACAAAATGTGGCTATTTTGGTCTTGCATAGATATTCATTGGAGTTTCAATTGGAATTTAATGGTTAATCCCCCATAATCTGAGAACATTTAATACTCCATCACATTATATTTGAGATATTTCACTGATTGTCTGGATTTTATTTGACATGATTTTTTTTCTATGTAACCCGTCTGCTGGGTAGGCCTGGCAGTAACCAGGGCTGGGTTCAATATCTTGGGGCCATCACACATAGAACCGGCTGGAGCCCCCACCCAGTAATCTGGGAAATCTGGGAAATTCACGCACCCCTGGGCGCCTCTGAGAGGCAATGCTTCCCCACTCGCAAGCACTGAGTCTGAGTGTAGGAAAGAAACATTTAATGAAACAGAAAGAGAAGTCATACGGCATTAACTTGGGGGAAAACACCCCAAACATGAGCCAAGCCCCCACCCCAGCCAAGAATCTCCCGAAGTCCAAAAAGTCCGACACCCCAAAGGTCTCTGTCCCTGGTCTGCCACCCAGAGTCCCAAAGTTCACCTGCAGGGTTTCACCTCCCAACCTGGGTAGAAATGGGGGTCGGGGGATAGATAGGGGGCACCGCCACGCTCCAACAGCTATCTTGTTCCAACAGCTGTCTTGTTCCATGCCTCTGGACGCTCCACTGGGCACCTGCCGCCACTCCACACCACCACTTCACTGGTGCAACAGGTCTGGCACTCAGCCAAACCCATGATTTCAGCCCTCAGTGATTTCAACTCTTTAGCCACCAGCTGGACTGGCAAATGAATCCAGCTTTCACTGACTCAAACCCTTTAACCCTTTCCCCCAGCTTTGTTCACTCAACTCTGGAAGGGGGGAGGCTTGTTCTTCCGAGACCTCTTACTATGATGGTGGTGTCTCTCCTGCAAGCACTGGTGGCATGTCTTACAGTTCCCACATTTAGGGGTAGCATGATTAGTTATCCCCACAACAGTCCCAAATTATGTACACTTCTCCACATTCCATTCCAACACTGACCCTCCATCAGCCCTGGCTGAATGGGATTTACAAAGCCACCCCTCAGATTCTCTTCTGAGCAGTATTTACACGTCAACAGTTAACACTTAATTACCTTGCAGAGCTAAACAACTGTAGTGGGCACACCCACCCCTCCTTTCAGCTGGCTGACAGCAAGCAGCAGTTCAGCCCCTGCTTACCTCTAGTAACTTCTGAATCAATCTTTTAAGGATATTGTATCCTATTTCTCTTTGCATGAGATACCTACTTATTTAAATTGCTCAAAAATATTCAGTTTGATCTTGTTAAATCATGAAGAATAAAACACACCCTGTATCACTTGGATATAGTTAAAATGCACCATCCATGCACATCACAGAATTAATGTATATGCATTCAATTTTATATTCTCATAATAATGTCATGGAATGTTAATGCAATTCTGTAAGTGCAATGGTATGGGAAATAGGGATATAAATGTCAGAGAGCTCTGGACTACTGTTGCTGCTACTGCCCAGGGCTGGCTGGGGGATGCATGGTGCAATCCAGGTGGCACTCAGGGATGGCTGCCCTTTAGCTCTACCTTTCTGCCTGAAGTCATGTCCCTTCCGGTGGCTTGGTAGCGAGCCTCCCTGCACATTGCCCAGGGTCCAGTAAAGTCTGTCGCCAGCCCTGACCTGATTGTAACCTGATCTGAAACTCACTGAAATCAGTGGAAAGACTTAATTTTAGTGAACTTTTGATCAGGCCCTGAGGCATTGATTCAGAAAAGAATCCCAGTTCAGGAAGGGCATTTAAGCATGTGCCTAAGTCCCATTGAAGCCAATGCTTTCCTGAATGGGATTGTCTTCAGTGCTTATGTGTTTTTCTGAATTGGAACCTAAGGCTTCCACGTTGAAGAGACACTTGGGGACACTCCCCCAAGCTGTGAGTGAAGGTTATGCCTGAACTGACAATAGTGCTAAAGTGCTCCCCCCTCAACTGAGAAGAAGAAAGACACTCTCTGGATTTCCCTCACACGCCTGGGAGGGGGGGGGGAGGGGAGAGGGGAAAGGCAAGGCTAGTGTATTTTGTGTGCTCCAGCCTTACAGAGGACAATAGGGGCTGCTGGAGTGCCAGTATGGGCTCCCCAGTGCTTGGAGGAGCCCTGAGCCTTGGGGGCCAGATTCAAGCAAGCCCAGCTGCATCAGGTCCCTGACCTTAGGTTCCCCACCCTTACTATGCACATTGAAATGCAAGTCCTAGTTGTGCCTGAAAATGCATGGCACTGAACAACTCACCCCTTAACCCATAATGGACCAGAGAAAGGGGAAGTCCCTGGTATCATTTCAGGTTACCTGGCAGACCTCAACACTGACCTTAGCACAGAACACCCACCGCACCCACTGACTTCCTCCAGCCTTGGGAGCCATCAGCCATCAGAACCAGATCGAAGGCTGAGCCCCCACCCCCTTCCTCCGCTCAAAATCATTGGCCACTTTTGGAAACTGGTGTATTTTGTGAGTATATGGCAAAGCGGAGAAGTGAGCCCCCTTTCAGACATAGCACTTTTCTCTCTGTTTTTTGAAGCAAGTAGTTTCTAAATGAGTGGGAAGCAGGGTAACCTAGGTCAGTGTTTCTCAACCAGTGGTACAAATACCCCAGAGAAGTCTGGGGGGTTCATCCACACAACTGAAATTTGGAGAAAACTAAATTTTTGTTTTAAGTTTTACAGCACTTTATTATTGTTGTACTTTTTATCTCCAAAAATGTCATTGCCCACCCAGCTACGGTTAAGTTTAAACAAATGTGTTGCAGGTAGAAAACAATGTTGTGTGTCTGAAAACGGTAGGTACTGGGGGCATTTATAATTGTTTAAAGGGGTCCTTTATAAGAAAAGGTTGAGAAACACGGACCTAGGTGGCTGAAAGCAGGTCGGGGGCAGGATGCCCGGGGCAAAGGGACACACAGAGAGACAGCGACTTGGAGGCAGGACAAGAACCCAGCTCTGCACTGGCGCGTTCACCACCTCGCTGTTCTGTCCCCGGGCGGGCTGTGGCGTCCAGCCGGGATGCAGCGGGGGGCCTGCCTCCCAGCCAGGC